AATAAAAAAAAAAAAAAAAAAAAAACAAAAAAAAAAAAAAAAAAAAAATTCAAAATACTAATAAATAATATAAAAGTATTTAAAATATAGCTACTAAAATAACCCCTGGTTCCAAGCTCACTGCGCACCCTGTTGAAGAAACCTTTGGAAGATAAAATGAGTAATAATGAAACATGCTTATGGAATCTTTGCAAGATTTACATGGTTTACATTAGATGTTTCTAAAACAATCTGGTTTCCAGGAAAGAATTTGGAGTGAAGCTCTCGGACCTCTGTTGAACAGTGTGCTGTTAATGAATTATTTAATGAGATGAACTTAAGCAGAATTTCATGAGAAACTATGACACTTTTTTTTTCTTGCCTCATCTGACTTTTGTGACCAAATGGAAGAATGACAGCGAAGCCTTACAATCCTCTAAAAATCAAAAACCCACTTCTGAGCATAACTATAGCAGGTTGAATCTTTGATTCTCAGTTAATTTGCGTAGTGTATGCATAATATATTTAAAATGCAAACATGTCTTTCTGACTAATAAAATCTAGATTAGGTAGTAAAATCTGTATTATAAGACCTTAAAGCCTACATTGTGGGGACCCTTATAATGGACACAACAAGGAAAAACGGCCTCATAAAGGGACTAAATAACATCTATATTCAAATGGAAAAATGGTAAAGGTTTAGGTTAGTCTATAATAATGAAATAAGCATAATTTAAGAACAACAATTGTGCTTCAGAGAGCAAGACACTTACAGTCACTCCACACAACCCTTTTTAAGTGTATTGTAAGTCATTTCAGATAAAGTGATCTCGTAAATTATACAACCTCAAATGAATGCTGAGGAAAGGAATGAAATGCACAGATAAAGGCTGGGTGGAGTCAATGATGTGCACTTGTGACTTTCACCTCCTAGCTGCCACAACTTGATAGTACATAGTAAAACAATATTAATTTCACAATCAGAGACAATATGTCAGTGATTATAGCAGTTTATTGTATCACCTGCATCTGCCTAATCCAGTTTCTAAACCATTATCTGAGAGTGTGGACAGTAAAAGGTGTCACCATTAAAGTACATTTAAAAAAATCCTCCTGGATATCACTCAAAAATCTAATCATAAGTCTTGTGTAAACTAACACATCCGTGTGTAGCCATGATAAATATATACACAAAAATGAAACCCTGAAAGGACAAATCTTCATGATGCTGTGATGATGTTTGGTTAACCAACTCTAAACATGCAACTGTTCTGAAATTCTACTTGTGCAAAGATTGTTAAAACTTAAGATAACTAAGATATAGGGTGATTATTATATCAGACTTAATATTTAGGTCATGGTAAATAACCCTAATTCTCATTGGAATTTTTATTTAAGTCATCAAAATAATCATTATTTATGGACAGATCAAAACCTTTCAACAAAATTGTCCTAAAACCTAAACCCAAAATGTGTTCTTGTCTTAGGACAACTTTGATTAACTTTTTTGATCCACTTCAAATGTTGACTACTGTATACCTGTTCATTGCATTTTAGCTTTATTAGTTTTAATTTGGAAGGGAAATTAGACATAAACTGAACTTTTGATACTCTGGTCGAATGTATTTTATTTCTGTTTAATAAATACTTTTACTTTTTCAGTGAAAAAAGTTTAAATTGACAATAATACAAGTAATCCACAAGACTCCAGTCCATCAATTAATGTCTTGTGACTTTGTGGAAAAAGCAATATTATAGAGGAGTCGTGTTTTGGCCAGAAGGAATTGTTTAGAAATGAAAAATGTCTTGATGACTGACGCAGTTTTTCACTTTACAAAATGTTAATTGATGGACTGAAGACGTGTGGATTACTTGCGGATTATTGTGATGTTTTTATCAGCTGCTTGGACTCTCCTTCTGACGGCACCCATTCACTGCAGTGCATCCATTGGTGAGCAAGCGATGTAATGCTAAATTTGTCCTAATCTGTTTTCTTCATTTTTGGTTGCACTATTCCTTTAATTTTATTCCTTTATTATGTAGTAACCCCTGAATAAAACCAATAAGGCATGTGAGGCCGTGCTACTGTATAAATATTGAAAGCTAAAGCTGTACAACACATGTCAATATTGACAGCCTTTTGCTGTCACTACATTCACATTATAGCACAACCTCTAGAATCTTCAACAATTCAACAACATGTTTTATGACAGCAACAAAAGTTCAAGGTTTGTATATGGTATAAAGAATACAACCTCATATATAATTGAATGATATTTCATTGCACAATTCATAAGGGTGTGAATAAAGTAAACGTTGCAAGTAAAGGCTATAGAAGTCCACATCAAGAAAAATGCTTCAAATTACATTGTTTTTTAATTCAACACAGTCTGTTTACCGTGTTGTCATGGTAACTGAGCTTCCAGCTGTATAATGGAGTGGTGTAGCTTATTAGCCACAGATGTGGGTTAGTAACCAAAAGGTTGTAGGTTCAAAATATGCAAAGGGTAATAACCTACAGTAACACTTAATCAGTTTAAATACCAAATGATTCCTGCAGGAAACATTGTGGGAGTTTGCAGGGAAAAAGCATTTCTTGTATAATGATAAATAATAAAAACCATTTAATGTTGACAAGACAGCCGGTCAACAGGCTTTTCTTGTCTGCAGATTCAGAGAGGACAAACTACAGTAAAATCTGTCATTTAAATATATTACTGTGAAATGTGCAGCACATGACAGTGTTATGGAAGCTTATATTTATACGGTTTAGAAGTTTGGAGTTTGTAAGAATGTTTTTGAAAGAAGTCTCTTATGGTTTTTATACAGTAAAATATAGTAAAATAACAATAAAATATAAATGTACAGTAAAAACAGTAATATTGTGAAACATTATTACAATTTAATATATTTATATACCCCAAAATATATTTGTTTATACCCTTCAAATGTGTTTGTTCTTTGTAGTTGTTTTTTTAATGTCTTTTTTTATTTGATCAAAAATAAAAACAAAGTAAAAACAGCAATACCGTGAAATATTATTACAATCTAATTTCATATTGTGAAATAAAATTTACATTTTAAATATATATACTTGTTATATACTGCATATTATTATGGAAGGGTTATGGAAGCTACCACAAAATAAACTTTAGTTTGACATATGTATTTGCTATATATATTGTTATGGAAGGGTTATGGAAGCTACCATAAAATATATTTTTAAAAATTATGTTTATTCCATTCAAAAGATTGGGGTCGGTAAGATTTTTGAATGTTTTTAAAAGAAGTCTCTTTTATGCTCACCAGTCACCAAGGCTGCATTTATTTGATCAAAAATACAGTAAACAAGACAACCAGTCAGCAGTCTCTTAGTGTCTGCATATTCAAGACAAACTGTGCAGTAAAATCTGTCATTTAAATATATATTACTGTTAAAATGTGCAGCACGTCTTGGCTGACGTGACTACATTTACACATGTCAGAATACACGTGGAAAATGGCACAATAAAACATATTGACACCATAAAAACATTCCACTTGACAACTGCATTAAAAACAACAACTTTGAGTGACAAATACTAGGCTTGTTTTATATATTTTTAACGTATGTTCATGTTTTTGAATTCAATGTTATGAGAACAGCAACGTGTCTTTCTGTTCCATGGGAAAAAGCAGAGGAAAACTTGTTAAAAACACTTTAGTAACTGATAAGAGATCAATTAGTCTTTCATTGACCCAGCTTTAGTCATCCAAAAACTGGATGCTTTTATGACTACATTACACTGAACTTTGTCCTAGAGCGTGTTCAGCCTTGTTATATTAGCTCAGTGCGACTTCCAGGTCAATCTAGAATCTGTTTTGTCTTTCACTGAAGGAATTCATCCCTTTTGAAGCATTCACAGGATTTCAGGATGAAAAAATTGATGAGCCGAACCACCAAAAATGTCCTTGTGGTTTCATTTGGATTTTTGCTCTTATTCACAGCATATGGAGGGCTGCAGAGTTTACAGGTAACAAACAGAAATCAGAGATAATAGACAAAAATAAATCAATTCAAATTGTACACATAAATATCTACACAAATATAATTAAAACATGACTCTTTGTAGTTGCTCAGAAAAGGTGCAAAGCAGATAATTTATTTAACATAAATAAAAGTTTAAAAAGTTGGGTGGGAGGCAAGATTAAAATACTGAATCAAGTTACATTGCATAATAATAATAATAATAATAATAATAATAATGCATCGAAAGAGAAACAATTAAAGCTATTCAAATCTGTCCTCTAAAACCATAATGATTTATGTAAAGCATATTGTCTTTCAAATTGTCCTACAGAACAGTGACCTAATGAAGCAACACTGTTACATTGATTTGTTACACAACTGTATCGTTGGTTTTGATTTCTGGGTGTATTTATATTGATGGAAGCATGTTTGTACATTACAGAGCAGTCTTAATGCTGAGGATGGAATGGGTGTTATTTCTCTCAGTGTCATCTATGGAGCTATCATTTTGTCCTCGATGTTTCTGCCTCCAATAATGATCAAAAATCTGGGCTGTAAATGGACCATCGTCCTTTCTATGGGTTGTTATGTGGCATATTCCTTTGGAAACCTTGCGCCAGGCTGGTGCGTGCATTTCTCTGCCTTTTGTACTTACTGATTTGTTGAACAATTTAAACAAATATGTAAGCATAGTTACTTACAGTATAAGTTCAAAATGGCATTATTCTTTGTGCATGTGTGAGAGGCCTGAAGTGATTATTATGTGTTAAATACAAGAGAGATATATTAATATTGATATATATTTGATATTTTTATACTGTTCAAAAGATGTTTTTAATATTTTTGAAAGCTGCATTTATTTGATCAAAAATACAATAAAAACAGTAATATTGAGAAATATTTAAACTGATTTCAGTTTGAATATATTTTAAAATGTAATTTATTCTTGAGAAGGAAAAGCTGAATTTTCAGCATCATTACTCCAGTCTTCAGTGTCACATGATCCTTCAGAAATCATTCTAATATGCCGATTTGCTGCTGAAGAAACATTTCTTATTGTTATCAATGTTGAAAACAGTTGTGCTGCTACTTCCTGACCCCAAACATTTCATTTAAACATTTAAGAGCTGAAGGTTCTGTTAGTTCAGTTAAGTTAGAAAGAAATCTGTAGTGTGTTTCAGCACATCATTCAGCACCTCACTTCATCATTTTTGTCTGCAGGGCAAGTCTGATGACAACCTCTGCTATTCTGGGTATGGGAGGTTCACCGCTGTGGTCTGCAAAATGCACCTATCTCACAATAAGTGGAAACAAACGAGGCCAGAAAACCAACAAGAAAAGCCAGGATATCATCAACCAATATTTTGGCATCTTTTTCTTCATTTTTCAGTCATCGGCGGTATGGGGAAACCTCATGTCATCTCTGATATTCGGCCAGGATACTAGCATAGGTACAGCTGGATTAAATACTTTGCCAGTGTCCTTTTTTATTTATTTATTTGGGTGACTGTAAATACTCTGAGCGTTTATTCATTTCTAGAAGTCCCTGAGGAGAACCTGCAGTTCTGTGGTGCGACATCATGTGTTGAAAATTTCACAGTCGCAAACTCAACCCTTCCAGCAAGACACCTAGTGAACACACTGCTAGGCTGCTATATTGGTGGGTAACAATCATTCATATTTGTGTCCAAAAACTAGTTTGGTTGAATGATTTCTTTCATACTGTCCACTGAAAAAATATCTAGCTTTGAATGTCCAAATTACTCCTCCTGTATTACAGTAAACATAAAAATACAGTTATTAGTGGCGTTTAAAATTAGAGATCTGAACAAACCCCTAATTATTTAACGTCAGTACATAAGTCATCCAGCAATTTGTGTATCCAGGGCTGTCCAAACTCGGTCCTGGAGGGCCGGTGTCCCGCAGAGTTTAGCTCCAACCCTAATTAAACACACCTGAACCAGCTAATCAAGCTCTTACTAGGCATAGAAACTTCCAGTCAGGTGTGTTGAGGCAAGTTGGAGCTAAACTCCGCAGGACACCGGCCCTCCAGGACCGAGTTTGGACAGCCCTGGTGTAGGCAATGGCCTAGAACTATTCAGAACACCCTAGAAACCACAGAGCAATGCACTAGAACCACCAAGAACAACCTAGCAAGCGCCTAGTAATGGACAAGTGCCATTTACATTTCTTTCAAATCTAGGAATTTTCTAACCTAGTGTTTCCTGGTCCATGCAGGTGTGGGGGTTCTGGCCATCATTTTTGTGGCGGTGTTCCTGGACAACATCGACCGAGATCTGGCCAAAGAATTTCGTAAAACCAAGGGCAACCAGTCGTTTTGCAACACCTTTCTGGCTACCTTCAAGCTCTTGAGAAATCCTAAATTGTTGCTTCTCATCCCATTGACCATGTACAGTGGGTTTGAGCAAAGTTTCCTCTCTGGTGAATACACAAAGGTACACCACCATGTCTTAAAAGAAGCATAAAGAAATAGAACCGTGAAGGAAATTCTAGGTCTAATTCTAGTTAACAAGTAATCATTTTAAACTATTTTCAAATAACATTTTAAAATATGCATACATGCACATTTATTTGTATGTCGAAAAACAATACGTTTCTTGTCTCGTCGTCATATTCAGTCAGGAATTACATTAATCACGTAAGTGATACCATATTTGAGAACTAAGTTGAGTTGTTTGCATCACTGTATATTACTGTTGTTAGTTTAACATTTCTATCGTTAAACGGTTGTCAAATATTAAATGTTTTGCTACTTCCATCTTTGCTCTCTTTAACGTCAAAACTGACGCTTCAAACTGGAACCCGTGCTCTGTAAACTCCGACTGGCCATCTCGGTCATTTTAACATTGACGAGCGCTTTTAGATCACTGAGACAGCCCAGCCTAAATTTTTTATTTTTATTGAATGCTTGAAAAACTATAATAATAATTGTCATCATTATCAAACTACAGTATAACAATACAACAACAATCCAGGGTCCTGCAATCTTTTAGTACAGATTAAGTGCCAAGTCCTTAAAGCCATTGTTGTTTTTGATTTAAGTTCGTAAGTTTATAAGCAGACCAGACTTAAATTAAAAATGTAACTTTTCGTCAGCCTGACAACAAACAGAGCGCTGCGTAATGGAGGGCAGCAGAGCAGTGCAAGAATTTCCAATATAAGCCCTATTATTGGGGGGGACTTGTCTCCCTCGTTGTCTATAGCGGTAACAGCCCTGCCCTATGCAGACTGGGAGTACATGAATACTAATTCGTCCTAATGAAATATGAATATAATGTGTTTGCGACCCTCTTTCCCCTGCAGAACTATGTGACGTGTGCGATAGGAATACACTACGTTGGCTTTGCGATGATCTGCTTTGGTGCTTCTAACTCCCTGTGCTCATTCGCATTTGGTAGACTGGCTCAATACACTGGACGAATCGCCCTCTTTTCCTTGGGTAATACAAGAACAGGTTGACATATGGTTTAACGGTTAAGTATGGTTGCTCAAATTTATCTTCATTCTATCTTACTACACTTTCACAGCTGCAGTGACAAACCTGGGCTGTTTTCTGGGTCTTTTGTACTGGAAGCCTCATCGAGACCAGCTTGGCGTGTTCTTTGTGTTTCCAGCCCTCTGGGGGATGGCAGACGCTGTGTGGCAAACACAAACCAATGGTGAGTGCTTCATACATGCTTCATACTAACTTAGTTATCTATACAGTTAAGTTATTACAAATATAAAATGGATAGTTTTGGGTGCAAAAGTCTGACAAACAGTCTACAGACAATTACAAACAGCCTAAAATCAGGCTAAAGGACTACTGAATCTGAATGATAATTATTTGTGTTGCCTCACAACACAAAACACATAAATAATAATAATAATAATGAATAAAATAATAAAAATAAATAAATATTAAAATAATATTTATATAAATGCTTCCATAGATGTTTTAACATGTTAAGATGTTGTATGTGTGTATGTATGTATGAACAGTGTTTTTAATTTATAAATATATTGTATAGTCATTGTACTGTGTGTTTATTTCATTTGCAGCACTTTATGGCATTCTCTTTGCTAAGGACAAAGAAGCAGCATTTGCCAACTACCGCATGTGGGAGTCACTTGGTTTTGTTATAGCCTTTGCTTACAGCACATTCATCTGCCTGTCCACCAAAATCTACGTTGCTCTGGCTGTTCTTGCCCTTACCATGGTAACTTACCTTTACGTTGAGTACAACGAGTACAAGCATCCAGCTCCAGAAGTGACTACTGACAACTTGCAAAAACCAGAAAAGGCTGACCTCAAAGAATTAAATGACAATGATATTATCACTCAGACACGAATGTAAATAAATTTTGCTAGATATTTCTGCCTCAGTATGTATCTCAGTATGTAAAATGTTGACTTTGTTGTTGTTGTCATTCAGAGATTATTTTTAGAGTATGTTTATAAAGTGTTGAGAAAATTCGGTTTTGTTGTTTGATGTAGCATGTAAATGTTTTGATAATTTTCTTTAATATTCTTTATATCTGTATATCTGTACAAAAGCACAAATAATTTCTTTCAGTATATGCATTAAAATACTTTTTTCTTTTCATATGTTTATTGTGGTTTCCTCATATTTACAGTAAGTGCAGCAGATTGAATGCTATATGTTAAATGTGAACAGGTTGAGTGTTGAAAGGTGAAGATTTACAAAGTGTTTAGAAGGTCATAGAAAAATATGATCATAAAGTAGGTTTGTATCGTTTTGGGATCGATGTCTATATGTAGCAAATCAGCAGTTTTTCCCAGAAACATGAATTAAATTACACCAGCGACTGTGCCAGTTTCCTATTGCATTCATTGTGCTGAGTCAAAGATCACATGCCAAATCGAGATGAAAATCACAGGATGAGATCAAGATAATAAAATGCCTACTGAGAACATAAAAAAATAACTTATGAAATTATATAATAATCATTCCACACAGAATATTACACGAAATGTAAATACTGCCACAAAATTAAAATAATAGAAGTAATAAAAAAGATTCTGCACAGATTATAATCGTTACAGCCTTTATCAGCAATGTCTTTTACATGCCAAAGATCTTCCTGAGATTCTCATATAGATATTCTGAGAGAGTCATTATGAAGCTTCTTTTTTTTTTTTCATTTGCAGATTACACTCTTCCTGAAGCAACGGCTATTGGGCTATTACTGTTGTTATGTAAGAAATGAACAATGTAACAACAGTGAATCAAAATAAAGTAACTCATTCTGTGCATCTGGGTTGTAATACAGGCAATAACTCTGGTTAGACATCTCTGAATGATAGCAATAAATATGTGACAAAGACATTCACAGTTTACAAGAAATATTTTTATGACAGCTCTAAAAAATGTTAAACAGAGTTCTACAACTGAAGAAAACAACATGTGTTTGGATTCCTACCAGACAGTGTGGGCTACAAATATTCTGTTTCCACGACACACTGTATATTCCAAAAGTCGGGGATTAAACCTGGAAATAAACAGTTAGATATTTTTAATTTTAGTAAAATTGTGATAAAAAAAGCATCGAAACTTAAAACAAAATCAGCAAAAATGCAATGGGCTGATAATACGGTGAAATTATGATCTATTCTCCTTTAAGCAGTGAGTATTTTACATGACAAACCTCCAATTTTAGTAACCATGACAGAAATGAATGAATTCCCCAATACAATACTAACAGTTGGACTATCAGATTTGCTGTCTCTGTGCGCCACCTGCATGCTGCTATGAAGCCTGCAGTGTAAATTGTAGTATTAGGTTAAATCACTTTATTTCTTTGTGCTTTCTCCCTTATGGTAAATATACACTTATGGTACATACAACATGTAATGTTTTATAGCATATAGCCTTTGCACTAATGTATAATTGATTAATAATATTACAGATCAACGCACTACAGCCTCCATATTCCTTTTCGTTGTGACCAGTAGAAGGCAGCATTCTCACTGATAGTAAACTGGTCCTTGCCAGTCTTACCTTTTTGTAGGTGTATTTTGATCTCCAGTAGGTGGCAGTGTTTTCTTTTTGTCTAGTAATGCCATTATGTGACATGATGAGGTCTACATGATTCAACTTCCACTTCTAAAATGTGTGAAATATGGTTGAAATATTTCATTTATATTATAACGTCTTCAATATTTAAATTCAACATATTTAAATATTCAACATATTTAAAATCAAATATCTTATAAAATACACTTATCTTTACACATAGCCAAATTTTTCCCCAGGTATCATTTAGAAAATCCATAACAACCTTGAATAGTATGGAGGACGAAACCTGCAAAAAACAATAAATAAATAAATAAATACACAAATAAATAAATGTGCAAATAAATAAATAAATGTGTGCCTCTCATTAGCATGTTGTGCAGAGGAAAAATAAATGCGGAACTACATTCAGAAATAAATGAGTGATCAAAGGAAAATAAATAGGATGAGTTTAGCATTTCCTTAAACATTTTCCATTTGCCCACCAATTTATTTTATTTATTTGCCTGCTTTAATCACATATTTAATTATTTCTATATGTATTTAAACAAGAATTTGTGTATTTATACACACATGTATTTATTTATTTGCATATTTATTTATTTATTTGTGTATTTATTTATTTATTTATTGTTTTTGCAGGTTTCGTTCTCCATACCGTCCTCCATAGTATGGAGACAATGGTTATGAAGAATTGTTTATTTTCCCATGTCATCAGTGTAGCTATAATATATTCAATTTAAATCTAACCGAGACATATTTAGACGGATAAACTATATGCAATATTAATAAATAAATAAATAAATATTTTTTTTACGATTGGCAAATCGCTTTGGTTTGATTAATGTTTAACGCTGATTCACACGTGGTGACGTCACCTGATCCGCCCACGCAAGGGAACACTACACTACTGTTGTCAGCAGCTCAAATGGCGCGCTTTTATTCAAAGGTTTCCTAACAACGAAAAAATGACCAGAGCAGAGGACACAAAAGGAGACAACCTGTCTGACAGGAACTCTGAGGAGGATCTACCAGGTAACAGAGCTTGGTCAGGTAAGAGGGATTATTGCAAATATTCTCTACAAACGATTTTGAAATCGAAAAAAATAAAGAAGTGAAATTGGACCTAAATATTTGACTAGATGCAATAAACTGAGGTAAATTGTATGAATTATATGCTGGCAATACAAGGTTGTGCTTTATTTCTATTTTTAGAAACTGGGTGTAATCAAAAATGTATTGCTTTTGACTCATAAGAGTACTATGACTGTGTTTACATGCACAAGAATGATCTGGTATTAATCAGTCGATGAGTAAATGTATTACCATGACTGCCATAACTAGATTAAGTCAATATTCCATAAATAGGAGCCTCTAGACTAGGAGTTGTCAAACTGGAGGCTGCAAGGAAATACTAGGGGGTCCATGAAAAAGTTTAGGGGAAAACAATGTGGAAAAATGTACAAATAAATAGACATTAAAATAATAAAAAAATATTAAGAATAATTAGATTAAAATAAATAAATAAATACAGTACAGTACTATGAATAGAAAATGCAATAGGAAACTTAAAAAAATTAATAGTTTCCAAAGAATAGTTCAGACATATTTATAATATAAATGTTTCACTGTATAAATTGGGCCTTTATATAACAACCTATGAAATTCCTTTTTAAGATATGGGGGTCCTTCACATGAATATAATTATATTTGGAGGGCCCGTTGCATCTAAAATATCGAAAATCCCTGCTCTAAACAGCTGGCATATGACTGTATTAATCCGTTATTTTATTTATTTTTTAATTTTTTTTTTACAAACTGTAAAAGAAATGTTGTCATGCATTGTATCCACATGATTTATCATTTATAAGCTGTATTAATTACTAATTGATCTGCATAATAAGTAGCAAATGCAAGCATTTCCAGTATTTCCAGAAGAGAACAGCAGGATTCATTGGAAAATAAAACCAATGTGATTTCCCCTATTCCATGCAGAATTCAGAGAACTGACTTACATGATTTCTTGGAGGCACTTGGATCTTCTCTATGGCTGAAAGGGAATGTGGTTTTGCTCCCCTGTTGTTCAGACTGCATGGAGGAGCTCCTCAGGTGGTACGTGAGGTGCTGCTGGAGCGTGGCTGGGAGGAGTATGATGAAGAGGAGCAGGAGGAAGGAGACTGGAACCTCTATTGGAGAAGCTCTGGCTTTCGAAAGTCCGACTACGAAAACATCCTGCCCTGGCAGAGGCTGAACCACCATCCCAAAATGAGCCAGATTACACGCAAGGACTGTCTGGCACGACACATGAGAAGAATGAAGATCGCTTTCGGCACAGCCCTGTATGACTTCAGCCCTGCTGCTTTCATATTGCCAAACGAATACACAAAGTTTCTAGGGGTGTACACTAGGAATCGCACAACTGACAGAGGGAAGTCCCGCTACTGGATTTGTAAGCCAGTTGACCTGTCAAGAGGAAGAGGTATATTTCTGTTTGAAGACATCAAGGACTTGGTCTACGACTCCTCGGTAATCGTGCAGAGATACATCAGCAACCCGCTTCTCATTTCAGGCTACAAGTTTGATCTACGCATTTATGTCTGCGTAAAAAGCTTCTCCCCTCTTGTGATTTATATGCACCAGGAAGGCCTAGTGCGTTTCGCGACAGAAAAGTACACCCTTGCTTCTTTAGACAGCCTGTACTCTCATTTAACAAATACCAGCATTAATAAGTTTGGAATGTGCTACGCCATGGACAAAGAGCGAGTAGGCCGAGGATGCAAGTGGACCATGAGCAGATTCCGTAGTTTTCTTCACAAACAAGATGTTAACGAACTTCTGCTGTGGCACAGGATCAGCAATATTGTTACGTTGACTCTGCTCACAGCCGTTCCTTGCGTTCCCTCCAGCCCCAACTGTCTGGAACTGTTGGGGTTTGATATCCTCATCGACGCCAGCTACAAACCGTGGCTTCTAGAGGTCAACCACAGTCCGGCGCTTTCATTGGACTGCCCTGCTGATGTAACGGTCAAGAAAGGGCTGATCAGTGATATCATTGACCTGATGAACTACAGGATGGTTGATCGTTTCAGACAGAAGGGATACTGCAGGAAGAGATCGGGTAGCCGGTATTTATGGCCAAAAATATCTCAAGGGTTTTTGTTGCCCAAGACTTTGCATGCACCTCCATCAGGCAACAAAAACTGGAATCAGTCTGTCTCAGGCTCTTCAAGTTCTCAAGACACTAGAAATAACACCGGTTATGCTACTTGCCCCGATCACCCCAATTCAAAATCCACTGGACATGAAAAGAATCCTAAGAAGTTTGAGGAAATTAACGACGAGGTGGGATCTGATGACCTAAAACTCACAATATTTAACAGCACGAGGCAATCACACAGAAATACACCGTCTACCGCGTGCAAGTTACCATCTCTTCGCGTACATAAACTCAAGTCTCCAGCCGTCCCATGGAATCGCGTGACTCAGGACAGAGGTGTCCCTCCTTGTCGTGTTGGCGACTTCATACTTACGTTTCCCTTTAATGAGGCTACGTGGAAAGCCTCTCAGGACCAAGCAGATGTTAAGGCTATTGTGAACGAGGTTCATAAACTCACAAACCGACTGGCATCTTCCTTTAATGAAAAAGAGAGGACGAAGATGGAAAGCAGTCAGAGCACTGGTATCAGGGATAAATTTGAGCCTCTGCTTTGGGGGCCTAAAGATCCACCTCTTAGAGGTGTCCCTCCTTGTCGTGTTGGCGACTTCATACTTACGTTTCCCTTTAATGAGGCTACGTGGAAAGCCTCTCAGGACCAAGCAGATGTTAAGGCTATTGTGAACGAGGTTCATAAACTCACAAACCGACTGGCATCTTCCTTTAATGAAAAAGAGAGGACGAAGATGGAAAGCAGTCAGAGCACTGGTATCAGGGATAAATTTGAGCCTCTGCTTTGGGGGCCTAAAGATCCACCTCAGCAAATGCTGCTCCTTAAATTCAGAAGTCAAGTAAAATGGTTTAAGTTGACCCAATTTTTCACAGTTTATAATTTCTTACAACACAACATAACACAAGAGGAGGAAACTGGGAAGAGCACATATAGTATATAGTAATTGCACAAAAAAAAATTGCCTTAAACTTTTGCATCAAACATCTTTGACATGTTAGCAATGATTATCCATGTCAATTAAATTCACGTGTAAATAAAACGTGTGTGTATATATATATATATATTTATATATATACACACATACACACACACACACAAACACACACACACTACCGTTCAAAAGTTTGTGGTCATCGTTATCTGTCAGTTTATTTTTAAGTTGCACAAAAATACAGTAAATAATGTTGTGAAATATTACAATTGAAAAGAACTGTTTCCAATTTTAATATATTTGATATATTTTTTATATATTTAATGTAATTAATTCCAGTGATGTAAAGCTGAATTTTCAGCATCATTACTCCAGTGTCACATGAATATGCTGATTTGTTGCTCCAGAATCATTTCTTCTTATTATTAATGTTGTTGTGCTGCTTTATATTTTTGTGGAAAGTTTTTTTTTTTTTTAGGATTCTTTGATAAAGAAATCTTGAAACAGAAATCTTTTGTAACATAATATTTCTTTATTGTCACTTTAAATCAATTTAATTCATGTTTGTTTAATAAAAGTGTTAATTTCTAAAATAACAAAACTGACCCCAATCTTATGAATGGTAATGTATATTTCATGTTCATATACTAAGGTCAGACAATACAAAAACATCTACAACCACAAAACACAGCAGGTAAGACAGACAAGCTGACATATTTTTACATATTTTATTAAACTTAAAACTCCAAATAGAGTATTTCTAAGGCATAACAGGGGAAATGTACATAACATGGAAATGTAACTAAGCTTAAAATCCACCCTTCAAAAACAACAGTAAATGGACACAGGGTTACACCCTCTCTATGTGCCAATTTCTGTAGAACAGAATAATATTGAAAAATAACATGACATCATATATAACTTATATAACTGTTAATAACTGTTCGTGAATAGATAAGATCCCTAAAGTTGCAAAGACTAAAGTCTCAAACCCAAAGAGATATTCTTTATAAAAGTTAAGACTGGTCCACGCCCTCCTAAAAGACAACAATGCCGGCTGTTCTGACTCACAGCCTGTAAGTACGTTTTCATATTTAAAGAATTTGCCACTGACGGTTTAAACGCAAGTTTTGAGCAGTGTAGAGTAGCGCTTGTTTGTCGTTTCTCCGATCACAAATGCAGACATGGTTTTATGTTTACGCGGTGCGATGCAACATAAAACGCATTGTAAACGCATGGCAGCGTAAAAAGCCAGTATAACTCATTATAATCCGTAATTATGTCCCAACTGGATGCAACAAATGCCTAGTTTGTAATGGGCTTTTACTGGTTTTGTCTCATTGCGCCGGGACACGGCATCACAGTATGGTAAGGGGCGTAACATTTCCGTCACACGCTTGAGGTATTCGGCCAATCACAACGCACTGGATAGCTGGCCAATCAGAGCACACCTCGCTTTTCAGAACGATGAGCTTTGTAAAAATCGACGCGTTTCAGAAAGGCGGGGCATAGAGGAGAAACAATAATGTACAGTATGTGGAAAATAATGTGTTTTTTGAACCTTAAACCGCATAAACACATTTCATTACACCAAATACACAAAATAATGTTCTTTTTTTAGCAACGTCATATGACCCCTTCAACAACAGTAAATTCTGTCAATAAAAAACAACAACAAATAAATAACATGAAAAGGGTTTTTAGAAGTTCATTTTTTGTCCATTATAATGATGCCTTCATTGTTCTTAATGCAAACCCTCCCAGATGAGAACTTTGTTTCTTGCCTCCCATTTGTGTAGACAGTTTTAACCGTTCCATCCGGGTACATCCTTCGCTTGTACTGTGAAGTATGAATCTCTCTCTGCCCATTAGCAAACTCCACCATCTTTTCCCCATGTCTGTGGAAACAGTGTGTAAGGGAGTAAATAAGAAGAAGAAAAGAAACAAACAAACAGGAAAGGCAGACATTAATCTTACTGTGATATCTTGACAACAGTTCCATCTGGAAAAATGCTCTCCTCTCGACCATCGGAGTGAAGAATCTTAACCGTGCCATCTGGGAAGGATATTTCCCTTGTACCATCAGGATGATGTTTTTCTAGGAAAATGTAACATTTAAAAAGACATTTAAAATTCCAAATTCACTGAAACTTTCTGTAAATTTCACAAATAATTACAAAGAAATCAAGCTTTACAAAGAAAGCAAGTAACATACTATAATGATATATGTTTTATTTAGAACTTAGAAAATTATTATAAAGTGTATGTCAACAAAAGAATGTCTTTCACATTCTTTTTCTAACCTCTTTGGTTGTTTGGAAACTGTACAACCTCCAATCCAGATGGATAAGTTGAGTGTGTTGTCTGAGCATCACAATGGTAGTATATCTAAATGTAAAGAGGTAAAATTGTTAACTGCGCAATTTAAAAGAGCTTAATTGTTAATTTAACCCTCAGGTTGAGTTTCTGTCATTTTGACCTAGTTAATACATTGAACTAAAACTTACTAACTCTGCTCACACATGGGTATAAAATCTTCTCTCTCTTTTTTTTGTTTTTGAATAAAATTGATGACCCCTTTTTGTATTTATTTTTGGAACTGATTGATCATAGTCCCCATTGATTTGAGCTTATTAACCTCAGTTTTTTTAGTCAACATTGCCAAAATTATCCACAAAAAATCTGAGCATAAGCTCAGATCAATGAGGCAGACGATCAGTCAGTTCTAAAAAGAGATAAAATGTTGATAAAAAGATTGAATCCAAACGATCAATGATCAAAAATCATTTAAAAATGAACAAAATAATTCCTGAAAAAAAACTACATTTGTAATTTGTGGTGCTTTGGTATAACTGCTAAAAAAGAACTGAAAAAAGGAGAAATTATTTAATCTGCACCTGAAACCATACAGAAACTAGAAACCAAAATATAAAATGAAATAAAATAAAAATCCTGATCTGAAGACTTATTTAAAGAATCCAAATGCAGGAACAGACGAAAAGATTTAGAATCATGAGACAAAAACCAAAAGGTTTGGGCCTGTAGGAACATGTTCGTGTTCTGGTGGATGACCACAAAATAATTTGTGAATTTTGAAATGTTGCAATACACCAGTAACTGTGGGAACAGACTTGATAAGACTTCCTTATTCACTCGTGATACACACCACAGTCCCGTCAGCCAGCGTGCGTTTAACATCACCATTGAAGAACGTAACAGTGACTGACTTATCAACACCGATCTCTTTCTTCGTTCCATTGCGGAATGTGATCACACGGCATCCGCTCCAAAAAAGACGCTCTACCTAATGAAAAGTAGAGCATTTTAAAAAGTACTGCAAGCTTTGTGTAATAAAAATTTCTAATTGCAAAACACCTTCATTACCCTTCCATCCGAATAGCGGGTTTCCTCCTGTACTTTGTCTTTTCTGGCCTGTGATGCCATTTGTGTATCATTGCAGTCAGTATGATGATAAAACAAACTTCCCTGTGGACAAAAGTGTCATTATGATTGGAAAATAATGTGTTTTTTGAACCTTAAACCGCATAAACACATTTCATTACACCAAATACACAAAATAATGTTCTTTTTTTAGCAACGTCATATGACCCCTTCAACAACAGTAAATTCTGTCAATAAAAAACAACAACAAATAAATAACATGAAAAGGGTTTTTAGAAGTTCATTTTTTGTCCATTATAATGATGCCTTCATTGTTCTTAATGCAAACCCTCCCAGATGAGAACTTTGTTTCTTGCCTCCCATTTGTGTAGACAGTTTTAACCGTTCCATCCGGGTACATCCTTCGCTTGTACTGTGAAGTATGAATCTCTCTCTGCCCATTAGCAAACTCCACCATCTTTTCCCCATGTCTGTGGAAACAGTGTGTAAGGGAGTAAATAAGAAGAAGAAAAGAAACAAACAAACAGGAAAGGCAGACATTAATCTTACTGTGATATCTTGACAACAGTTCCATCTGGAAAAATGCTCTCCTCTCGACCATCGGAGTGAAGAATCTTAACCGTGCCATCTGGGAAGGATATTTCCCTTGTACCATCAGGATGATGTTTTTCTAGGAAAATGTAACATTTAAAAAGACATTTAAAATTCCAAATTCACTGAAACTTTCTGTAAATTTCACAAATAATTACAAAGAAATCAAGCTTTACAAAGAAAGCAAGTAACATACTATAATGATATATGTTTTATTTAGAACTTAGAAAATTATTATAAAGTGTATGTCAACAAAAGAATGTCTTTCACATTCTTTTTCTAACCTCTTTGGTTGTTTGGAAACTGTACAACCTCCAATCCAGATGGATAAGTTGAGTGTGTTGTCTGAGCATCACAATGGTAGTATATCTAAATGTAAAGAGGTAAAATTGTTAACTGCGCAATTTAAAAGAGCTTAATTGTTAATTTAACCCTCAGGTTGAGTTTCTGTCATTTTGACCTAGTTAATACATTGAACTAAAACTTACTAACTCTGCTCACACATGGGTATAAAATCTTCTCTCTCTTTTTTTTGTTTTTGAATAAAATTGATGACCCCTTTTTGTATTTATTTTTGGAACTGATTGATCATAGTCCCCATTGATTTGAGCTTATTAACCTCAGTTTTTTTAGTCAACATTGCCAAAATTATCCACAAAAAATCTGAGCATAAGCTCAGATCAATGAGGCAGACGATCAGTCAGTTCTAAAAAGAGATAAAATGTTGATAAAAAGATTGAATCCAAACGATCAATGATCAAAAATCATTTAAAAATGAACAAAATAATTCCTGAAAAAAAACAAAAAAAAAAACTACATTTGTAATTTGTGGTGCTTTGGTATAACTGCTAAAAAAGAACTGAAAAAAGGAGAAATTATTTAATCTGCACCTGAAACCATACAGAAACTAGAAACCAAAATATAAAATGAAATAAAATAAAAATCCTGATCTGAAGACTTATTTAAAGAATCCAAATGCAGGAACAGACGAAAAGATTTAGAATCATGAGACAAAAACCAAAAGGTTTGGGCCTGTAGGAACATGTTCGTGTTCTGGTGGATGACCACAAAATAATTTGTGAATTTTGAAATGTTGCAATACACCAGTAACTGTGGGAACAGACTTGATAAGACTTCCTTATTCACTCGTGATACACACCACAGTCCCGTCAGCCAGCGTGCGTTTAACATCACCATTGAAGAACGTAACAGTGACTGACTTATCAACACCGATCTCTTTCTTCGTTCCATTGCGGAATGTGATCACACGGCATCCGCTCCAAAAAAGACGCTCTACCTAATGAAAAGTAGAGCATTTTAAAAAGTACTGCAAGCTTTGTGTAATAAAAATTTCTAATTGCAAAACACCTTCATTACCCTTCCATCCGAATAGCGGGTTTCCTCCTGTACTTTGTCTTTTCTGGCCTGTGATGCCATTTGTGTATCATTGCAGTCAGTATGATGATAAAACAAACTTCCCTGTGGACAAAAGTGTCATTATGATACTATGATGCGTTGTACATTTCATAATAGAAACGGGGTCAGACTATTCTGTCATTATGAGTGATACATTTGGATAAAACACTGTACAAGTGTGTGTCATAACTTTATGCTCTAATTCTGTGTACTGATATTGGCTGACTGCATCAGGTGAACTATCCCTTAAGAGAAATACCTTTCCGCCTTGTGTAATCATGGCATTGTTCAGTGGACTGTCAATGGAAAGTGCAGAATTCTTTCCTTTTTGGAAAAACATAACACACAAGACATGGCAAGCTGTACACTGTACATCTAATATGTGATGACAACTTGTATGTTGATTTATAGGAGATGAAGCACGAGAGGACATACTTACTCAAAGAGTTGTCTGTGCATTCTGTTAGCCTATTAGCTTTGGTAAAAGAACATCCATTTGACTGGCCATTCAAGGAGAAGAAAAACCAGATGCTTTCAATAAAATACAAAGGTATCACTGCACAAAAATGTATCAGTATTTCTGTTCTGTTTTCCTTAAAACAAGAACATGTTTACTACAAAACAGGACAGAAGTACTGATTAAGTACTGATTACTTAAGTGGGTCAATAAAAGGCACATTTGAATAAGAAAGTGATGCTATACACTGGTCTGGCTAAATGTGCCATTTATATTGAATAGCTCTATGCATTCATAATATAAAATCAGGATTTAACACTTACACTGTATGAAATGGAGATGGGTAGATGCATTACCCATGCATGAATTAATTATAAAGAACCGAGTCAATTATCTGACACTGGGTTTTGAGAGTCACCATGAATTATTTCTGACAAGCTTAAAGGCACTCAAGAACATATTACACACCTCAACGGGTTTACAGGAAATGAGTTTAGCTCAACTAGTTGTATGGGTCCTTTTACCTAACAAATGACTAAAAATAAAAAAGTACATATTTACTTTAAAGCTATAAAAATATTTTACAGATCAAAAAACAGTTATTGTTTTTGATAATGCACATTAATGATGTTAGCATACTAACATTGTCCTGTTGTGTCCTATGGATGGAGGGTTTGTTAAAGGCTGGAGTTGCGCTCCTTACATGATGGGTCCTCTGTGGTTCCTCTCTTCTCTTCTCAAACTGAAGTACAACATATGTTATTCATTGAGGCACAGTATTAATAACCACAAAGTCTTTTAATAGATTAAAATCACATACAATAAAAAAGTGAACACCATATGCAATATATAAACCGGTTTCTCTTTCTTTTTTTTTTTGAGTAAAGATCATAACCTGCAATAGGTAATATTCCCTCCATGTTTCAATATTTAATCATTCAAATAGGTTCATACATTTTTTTGCCCTGCTTTCCATTTAAAATGTGTTTATATAATTTTAGTGGAAAAATAGTGGTTTAAATTTGCTCTCACTGTGTTGTATGATCCAGGCTGAAGAGCAGAGGAGCCAGCACTCTGGTGCGATCTCTTGTTCACATTGAGCCTGCTGTGAAGCTCCTGGTTCTCTCGGGTGAGGGCTTCAACACGGCTCTGGAGGAGACTGTGGGCCTGCGACCAGTGAGACTCCCTTACCATCAACTTCTGCTTCAGAGATGAGATCTGCTGTCTCAGATCCTACATGCACAATGATTTAAACAAAGTATTTTCTGGATGTGTATCCCCATTGAAAAATGTTAAAGGGGTCAAAACAAAATCAAGACTTTGTAAAAGAGCATAATAGGACCCCTTTAAGAACTCGGAAGTAAGCTGTTTTCTGTGAATGTGCGAGACTTCCGGTTCATTAGCCGCTGTAGCGAAATAATGAGAAGAATAACAAAGTGCACGGTAAAACTGTTTGCACTACAAATCAGTGTGTTCAAAAGATAATACATTAAAATAATATGGTAATACACACCAGTTTGCAATATCAAGGAGCAAAATTAGCTGTTTTGTACATCTAAAAATAGCTGGAAGCGAAAGACACCGGAAGCCAGACAGATTAAAGTTACAAATGGCCACGCCCACTTTTACAGGAAAAATAAGATGGATAGAACCTTTCCATTGCACAAAAGGTGTTTTAAAGTGTAAAAAGGTTAAATGTTCTTTACACTAAGAACTGTTCAGTGAAAGGTTCTTTGGAGAACCAAAAATCGATCTTGCATGGAATTGCTGTGAAAATAAAAGAAACTTTTTGGAACCTTAAGAAGTTAAGTGGTGATTCTATACAATGTCACATATGCAGACGTGATGTGAAAAGGAAGAAAACTTCAGTCTAAAATGTGTTGTTGATTCTACCTGAGGTTCATGAAGTTCTTTCTTAAGCCTGAGCAAAGGTCTGCAGCCATCCTCACCATTAAAACCATGCTCTCCCATCTCTTCCCTAGTCAAATTCATGAATATGTTAAATCAGAGATAGAAACTTGAGCTTGAGGGCTAGAGTTTCTTTTCAAAATACCAAAAAAAAAAAAAAAAAGAAAAAAAAAATTCACAAAACCACTTTCAGACTTTTAAATTAAATGTTCCCTCCTGATGGAACGACCTGAATCTTCAAGAATCGGCTAAAAACACATCTCTTCCATCTTTATTTGACCCTCTAACTCTAGCACTCTATATTC